GAGCTCAGAATTAAAACGCCTTTGCATCAATATTTAGCTCAGTATGCAGGAACGGTTATGATGGATTCGAAAGGATGAAAGTTTGGTTGTTGCCCATATTAATAACTGATAAATGCGTGACTAAATCATGTATCACAGGCCCAGACTCTATAGGAAATCAGGATCCCTCACACTAAAATAAAGGGAAAATTCAAACGATCAAAATGAACATAGGCAAAAATTATGTTTCCTATCGCCTTCTCCTGAAACACAATGAAACTTACTGTAACTGACTTGCATTGTGTGAGGTTCGACGTGGAATAAACGTCAAATGATGCGAGTTCTGCAGCTTCTCACCAAGTCGTATCTTATATCGGAGCAACTGCATAGACTAGAAATGTGTCATTCGTGGTGAAGAGGACGAACAAGCATGACGTCACCTTAATCTTCCAAATTTTCAAGAATCGTCAACAGCTCATGCGTCTCCCTCTTCTGTTGTTCAGGTAGTCCAACAGTTTGCTCCTATGCATAATTCCTGTTATGTGAGGCAATTCCGCACTTATGTACGAACACCTCATTCCTGAAATATGCTGGCGAAATTTTTTTCAGCTTCTTTAGGCAGTGAGTAGTGTAGAAAGTGAGCATATTTCTGAAAAAAGCATATCTGCATTTTTCATAGCCTTTGCAGCGCTACAAACGATCTAAGACACTACCACTAATTCATGAGCAAGCACAATTTACCACTTTCCAATGCCACAAACAAGAGTATGAATTTTCTATCCAACCATGATCCCACGTGTTAACTGTTTAACGAACGATGCTTCGAGGAAATTTTCTAAGATTAAGAGTGACCTGTTTACCTGAAAATGCAGCAATTCGTGTTTATGTATTACAAGAATTTTTTCCATGCACAGCAGGAACTGACCGGCAGCTGTCCAACCTCTGGTATTAGGCCATCACCTTTACTCCACGCCAAACATGACAAAATTATTTTGCGATTATAATACAGTGTGTTTGATTGCATTTCAAACACGGTGCGCAGTTTCTGAAGGATTGGTCTCCATCGACCATTTGGTTCACATCCCATAGACCTTGTCCTATAAAATATGACTGTGGTTGCGATGAAAACGTTGATGAGTTAAACACGGCAAAATATGCTTCCTTGTATTTTCGTACGACGTCGAATTACGAAATTACCCAAT